TCATGGATATTAGAGATGGATCTGCAATCTCTAGTCCAATGTCTCCCTTTTCCACATCGTTGGCACAGTGTCTTTGGAAGCTCAGGTTTGGTGTTTAGTTTAGGACAGTGTTTATTCAAGTGCCCCTTCTGGCCACAGTTGAAACATTGCTGTAGTCCAGTTAAAGCTTCCACAATCAGTTTAGCTTTGTGAGATACTGATCCCACATTTTTACAAGCTTCAATCATCTCCAGCAAGCTGGGTTCTTTTAGCATTTTTAAGGCTTGCTGGCAGTTTTCATTAGCTTTTGCAATTACAAGCTTGTTAAACAGAATGTCCTGGCTTTCCTTCTGTTGGACTTGGTGCACTATAGCCTCCTTTAACCTGGTGATAAAATCGACAAAGGGTTCATTCGGGCCCTGATTAATTAACGTGAATGAAGTCATTTGCACATAAGCATCAGCCACCTTTTTAAGAGCTTCAACTGCTAGGTCTTTTGTAGCATCCAAATGCTTTAAGTCTATACAAACTCAGTCTTGCCGCCTGGCATAAATGCCTTCTCCATACAGCATGTCAATAGCACTGCTAACTGGAATGCCTTGCCTTTCCGTCTTTTCATTAACAAACAATTATGAGCCGTTTCCATTCTGCTTCAAAAATGGACACTTGTACTGTAGATAGCAGTCCATTAAGCACCACCCTGATATCATAGGGTATTAAATGATAAACCAGGAAAAATGATTTGAGCAGTCCTACAGTAAAGTGTGCTCTGAGACCATATTCCACAATTGCTTTTTTAATGTCCTTTAGCGTAGGGTACAAAATAGGCTTCCACTCCGGAGAGCGTCCTTCCTCCAGGTATATGGGCAAAGCTTTTAAAAGCTTGGCATCATGAGCCTGAGCAGCTTCTATCCTAAAAGCCTTTCAAATATTGTTGTAGGGCAGCTGTTGGAGGCTTTGGTAACAAAAGCCTCATGGGCGTGGCCATCTTCTCGGATGTTATTGTCAGAAGAGGCCCTGGCCCCGCCCCTTAGTTTCCATCTACCCTGGAAGGGCGATGGCATTGGGGTAGAGGTGGTGCTGGAGGGAGAGGGCATTCTGGTAGAGGGTCATGGGCGTGTTGGTGGTGTAGCGGGGTGGACACGGAGATGGGCTGGGGGGTGGAGCTGCAAAATTTTTGCACGCCGCTTTTCCACACGGTGTGCGTTCCCGTGTTCGGCCTTCACGTGCCTCGGTCTCGCACGCACACGATTGTCCTCCGCCTCCACCGTCGCTGTGTTGCAAAGACTGCGTGTCCCCGCACCATCTCTCTCCCTCCCGCCGTGCCGGATTTTTCGGGGCTTGTCTTTTTCCGGGGATTTTGAGTAGGATTTTTTAGATTTTTGTGGTGATTCTGGGAGATTTTCATTGGAACTTGCCATCTGATGCTGTAGCACCATTAGAACCAATCTCCAAGCTATCAATGCTTCAGTAGCAATTTTGTCGCCCCTCTCTTTCGCTTTCCAAATATTATATCCAATTTTTTCCCAGACTTTTACGGATGTGCTGTCAGGGACTGTTTCTCCTCCGTTTTTGAGCCATTTAGTGAGGGCTTTGGCAGATTTTTGGTCTAAGGGGTGTCCATTTTCCAAAATAAAGTCTTTAAGCTTTCGGTATACAAATTTTTGAGAGGTAGACAGCCAGAGGCCCATTGTGGTGTTACTGTGACTTCTGGTAGTCTGCAGTTGGCATTAAAATTTTTCTGTTGAGGGGACTGGGGTCCAGGGAGGGATTAGGGGTGTTCCAGAGCCACTCACCTTTCCAGTGTGAAGTCGGGCGCTGATCCAGTGATCCGCCGTCTGCTGTTCGGCTTGGGATGACCGGCGGAGCAGGCACCTCTCGAGGTGTCGCCTGAGTCCTTCTGGTAGCGAGGGAGTTTCTCTTAATATGAGAGACTCAGACCACGAGCCCCACACTGGACACCATATGCCACACTCTGTGGGAGGGGGGTGAAGGATCGTGGCACTGCACAAAGGGGTCCAACAAGGTTTGAGGTTGCAATGGCTGTTTAATGGGGGTGCACAAGGGTTTTATCAGCTCTGGCGTGGAATGCAGCAGAAAATGGGGTGGAGCATGAGACAGAGAGACAGGGAAATGAATAGGGATAGGGACTCAGGCAAAGAGGTAGGAATAGGGGAGAAACTGGGGAACGAAAGGACGAATGGTAGCTCTCTCCTCTCTGCAGCCTTCTCAGCCAATCAGAGGGAGAAGCGGGGAAGCAGGGAGCAGACAACTCGTGGCATGCCTGGACATGCCTGGGTATTACAACTGTAGGGGAAATCATACAATGTAGATATTTGTAACCACATAAGAACTGTAAAGTCCATATAATAAAGTCTTTTCAATCACTGTATATCTTTTTCCATTCCTGAAATCATTCCCATTCTGATCCTTGCTCCTCCAAAAGTGGGTAATAAGGGTTGTAAATACTTGTCGAAAAGACATCAAAGAATAGCCAGAGACGCTCAATGCTGAACACACATTTGCGAAATGTTTTAAATGAAAGCAAGCAAACATAATCTAAAGGGTAAAAAAAGGTATCTACTTTGATTGCCTACTTGTGGCAATAGAATATTGTCATATTACCTGACTACATTGGCTTGCTTCATCTGACTCTGCATAAGCACAACTTTATCTAAATCTGCCCATATCTAGGAGCATTTGAGTACACAGTTTTAACTGGAATTTCACAGCACTGTTAGCACTTGCTCAGTGCATGTTTGCCATTTTTGGTTTTGTAGCAGCTTGAAGTTTGCACAGATCACTTCATGACAGAAAGGGTATGGAAAGTGTTACGTACTTGTAGTGATCATACTTAGCTGTGCTTAGAGAATAATGCTGTGACACAACAATTCTTTTATCATATGGACATGTCCTGGATTTTAAGCTTGAAGTAGTTTAGTGTTCCCTTTTTCATGAGTTACTTTTGCTTATTTACCACCCAATGAACTCTACAAAAGTATTTTTGTGAAGTTTGACAAATAGTAGTCAAGCAAGTTTCAGTGTAGAAAAATTCTGCCCTGTGATGGTAAAACATACATTTGTACTTCTAACCTTTGATAATACAAATCAAAGACCGCAGCCATACACACTGTATTGTTTTTACTGCAATGAAGGCCCTTTCACTCCATAACCTATCCTGGCAGGCAAAAGGGAAACTAACAAAAAGACTCTAAATCTCCTCTACAATACTCCTGGAAGAAAGAAAAGCAAATAATGCTGGAAAACATAAATTGAAATTCAAACTTGAACAATAATGTAGGTCAGAATAAGATTAAGCATTCCTTTTTATGGACAGGATATACTTCTACTTAATATAAAAAATGTATGCAGCCTTGTCCAAACTAAAACAACTTGCTCAGACTTTTGTATTTTTCCAGTCTTCTTCTGAAGTCCCAACTGTCCCATGACTACTGAGTCCAGGCACTGAATCAGCAAGTTTAGGTCACTACCTCTTAGGATGATGAAAATATCTCTAGCTAAATCTACAAGTAATCCAAACAGATAATTTTACTATAAATTGAAATTAAAGACTGTAACATTGAGGTAAATATTATTTCTCAGCAGCAAAAAAGATATAAAGATTTTAGACTAGGTTCTAACACTCTGCAAATTAAAACATTAAAAAAGTTTGGGTTTTTTTCTCTGTTTTTCCTGGAGAAAGAGGAAACAAAAGAAAACAACTCCCCAAAAACATATTCAGACCTTCATAAAAAAACAGTGAATCAAGTAACTGAACAGACCAAAGATATCATCAACAGCAAATCTGGCTGGTTTGGCTGGTAGATAGATCAATAAATCAATATTGATCTATTGATTTATAAATTAAAAAATATACACCAAATAATACATTAAACTGGAGATAGTATAGAAAGTAAAGGAATTTTGCTATCCATGAGTCAGGAACAAAAGTTTAATTTCTTCAAATTTGCTGGATTTTCAGTGACTGAAAGTAGAAGTACCTTGACATCTGTTTTCAGAATTTGTAAGTGAAGGAAAACTCAAGACTCAACATTACCTCAAAAAGAAAAAAAAAAAAAAGGATATTCTGAAGCATATCAAAATTATAACAGGCAATGCATGATACTTTTTATCCAGTGAGTTAGTTAAAAAAAATAGCAATTTACACATGTGCCCCCGCAAACACTACAGAGGAAGCACAGATGGGACACCATCAAGTGGCATAAATGCTCTAGTACTTATTTATAAAATCTGCATAAATCTTTTGAGTATCTGAATACCTGAAATAAAAACACATAAATAAAATTGTGGAAATACTGCAAAAAATATATGTGCGTGTATAAATTATCATAAGGCAAGGGGTGGTGTTTAGGTCACAGCTGCTTCATAACTGATAAAGTTTAGGGGAGAAAAAAACCCCATGACACAGACACAAAATACTATATTATCTTGCGGACAAACACTAAATATTAGGTCCTTCTAGCCTCAGCTAAATGCAGCTGAGTACAGACTACAGACTGTTGGACTTCCAAAGTTTTGGTCACTTGGCACTGTTAGGCTTGTTTCATGTATCCAGCTTCTTCTGTTTTTTTCATTTTAATTTAATTTCCATGGACAGTCGTTTTTAGATCGTATTTATTTTTGGATCCTTTGTTATATTCAAAGAAATACTTCCTTTCCTTTATGATCACAGTTCACTGTATCATAACAACTTTTGAAAAAGACCTTTAGATGGTGAGATATAATATCTTTTTAATTTAATTTTTCCATTTAAGCATATTTACTAAAATGACTCCATCATTTAAATAGAAAATAGCTACATATGACTGTGGTCATATCTGGATCAGACGTTGTGCTGTCCTCAAAAGTAATATTTTTTCTAATCTTTCCCTCAGTAAGCACATGCAAAAATCAGAAAGGCGCAAAAAGCTACGCTGAGTCTAGTGTATTTTCCATTTTATTAGAAAACCCATCAGTAAAATATCTTGGTTTCCTCTTTGTGAGGGGAGTGAAACCCTTCTCCTGAGAGGCTTTTTGTTAGTTTGTTTAGTGCTGTTGAATGATCATTGGTTGCACAGTGGAAAGGGCACTCCTTTAAAGGACTTTAAAGGCAAAGTAGAAAAAATGACATTAAAAGCCTACCTTGGATCTGATTGATGCACTGTTATATTTGAAGTTCACTCACAGCTCTGTGCTAGAAGGCCAAGAGTACAGTCCTCTAATGAGACTGTGCATGAACACTTGCAGCTTTGTAGGCCTTGTTTTAAGTGGAGATCGAGAAACACTCCTTACTGATAGCTTTCGGGATCGTATCTAGACAGAAAATAACATCCTCAATTTGGCCTCTGAAGGTGGGTTGAGTAAATTTTTGTGATGTATCTGAGTATTTGCTGAGTGCAAGCTCATGTGGTATGGCTCCTATTTCTGTCGGCAAATACAAATTTTTCACTCAGCAGGCATAATCAGAGCTAACTCAAGAGGAAAAATAACAAAAACTCAACAGCCCTTAGCAACTCAGCATGGCATAGAGGGATTTAAGACTTTAGCATTTTATCTCTATCAGTATGAAAATGTATGAGGAAATCTGAACTTTGGAAGTGCAAATAAACACATTTAACACGTTATAAACCACCTATTCTGTCAATGACTCCTGGGTCTTTTCTTTTTCTATTTTTTTTTCTTTGCCAGCCTCTCTCTCCTGAAATAATAAAGCTGGTTCATTAATTTGGGCTTAAACTAAAATCAATTTGTTTTGACAGAGTTACTTTAGAGGTAAGGGAGGAAGTGTGCATAATCTACTTTTAGAATCTCTAAGCTGATAACAGAGAAAAAATCATGTTTCTTTTTTTTTTTCCGATGTTTTCCTTCTCTGCAGTTCCTGTTTACTTTCCTTCTCTTGGCTGAGACATTATTTCAGTCCAGTGTTTGAATTTGCTGAGGACCTGATGGCAATAAAAATGTTAAGTATCATACCTGAATCTAATTTAGGCAGTTGCATTCTCAAAAAATAAAATCCACTCTGCACTTTTAACTAAAAATATTTGCCTTACCTCCTAGAAACTGCTGTGTCAATGCATGTGGTTTACAATCACTAGTATTTCACTATAGAAGTAGAGTCTTTGGAAAGGAAAAGAAGGAATTTCTTACATGGGATAGTAGAGCACTAAGGAAATAGAAGAAAAATAAGTTCACAAGCTCCTAATAATATTGAAAACTGTTTGAAACATTTAAATTTTGACACAGTGGTTCATTCTCCTCTTTCTTCCCTGTCATCCCTCAGTTAAACTATAGGCTTTCTATATCTCCTTCTTATGGTTTAATCTGCAACAGTTGCATCTCCTTCGTATGCTATTATCCACACCATGTTAGCTGTGTTCTTACAGGAAACAAAGCTGTGCTCTGAACTGCATTGTTTAACTGGACATCACAAGCTACTGCACTTGCATGTCACCACTGGGTAGGTACCCTTTGACATATTCACCTTACAGAGAAATACACTAAGAAGTGTTTTTTCACAACAGCAACAGAACAGGCCAAGCAATTAAATAGCAAGAAAAAATGAAAAATAAAAACAAAGTGCTGAAGTTGCCCTAAATTTAGAGTGACTTCTCTGGTTTACTCCAGATTTCCCTTCAAAACAGAGATGTGTTAAAGATCTTGGTAAAGATGTATCATGCAAGCTTTGAAAAGACTGCTTCTGTGTGGGGCAATTTAGAAATGTAGATTTAGAAATCAAGCTTGTAATGGGAAATGTACTTAACCATCAAATAATCAAGAACCTGAAATAAGCTAGTAATTGCCTTCAAACCAACAGATTTACAAGTACAAGATAGCAGATTTCAATTTCTCTACCAGAATTTGCAAAGGCTTTACCTGTTAGCGCTGATTTTGATACCAAATGCCAAGCTGTTAGGATCACTGTTTTCATTCCCAGTAAGCTTCTTTTCGATTACTGTTCACATACCCCTACAAGAATCTTTTACTTTGTAGTTCTAACTGCTAACAACTTACTCAGAGCTGAAAGCAGCAATCTGTTATGAATCATTCTGTGGGTATTAAAAGACAATGAGTTCTTTCACATCTTCTGGTTTAATTCTTTTTATCTAGATAATATCCCTTATTTCAATTACAGTGTTTATCTTTTGAAGGTAACTTACCCTCCCCCTAATTACATTATTCCTAGAAACACCTGGCTTTTTTTTCCTTTGTGCTTTACAACTCAATATGAAAAGCAGCATCCTTAAATCTTTTCTGTCTCATGGGGCACAACACTGAAGAAGGAATATGTTCTTACCCAGACCATAATTTCCTGTCCACATTAACCTGACCTATGACAGATATGGTATCCCCAATTTTAAGTCCTTTGCAGAGTATTCAAGGTGCTGTATTATATTTCTGAAGGGCAGATGCTGAATTTGAGTGGCAGATTAGCAATCACTAGCTGAAATGCAGAAATTCTCTTAAATGAGGCCGTTCAACCATGCAATCACAGTGTGGGTGGGTCTTTAGTGAAAAGCATATCTGAGGACTCTGCCTAGAGATGTGCCAAGTTCAAGCTGAAGGATGAAATCCAGACCAGCTGTATCATGGGGACAGATGTGCTTTCTACCAGAGAGTCTGCAAACAGTGAGATCAGGAGCATGCTTCTTTGATTCTGTGAATAAAGGATGATTTTTTTTTTTTTGATCTTTGTGGGTCCCTTCAAACTCAAGATATTCTATGATTCAAGGAACACTGGAATTGACCCACTTACATTGGTTTATTCTTGAGGAGAAGATATCTGGCACTGACCACATCCTCATGGAAAGCCACTTGCTTAAAGAAGCATCAACTACGTTGAGCTTCCTTCTGAATTTCCCTTCTCATGTCAAGAGTGACCAGTGCTGCACACAGACAGAAATACAGCTTTTTCCCGGGGAGAATTTTACTGAGGAAATTTAGGGAAATGGAAGGAATAATTACATCTGCTCAACACTAACATAAAACTATTCTTTTAATTATTTGCCTGAGAAATCAAAGCTTTTCAGAAAATATCAGATCATGTATCATGTAATCAGCATTGTACTAAACAAGAAAAAAGGAATTATGATGTCCTTTTTGTTTAGATAGCTGCTACTTTTTTAATGTTTTCTTTTCCTTTGGAAACAATAATTTCTCTGCTCCTTCTCTTCTAAACTGCCTTTGGGCTCACCTGATTTCTTGGTGAATTTCCAGTTTTTATAGCTTCTCTATCCAGATTTCATCCAAAAAGTGCTCTAGTTAGAGCCTGAGTTCACTCAGAGTTGCCATAAATGTGAACTCAATTTACAAAACCCATCACCTTGTGCCTTTATAAATTATTTGTTATCTAATACAGTGTTTTACCTTCTTTCATGTAATTTTTCTAACATCTGACCACCTACTGTACCTACACATTATTTGCTTAAATATTAGACTTATGTTATATTAAAAAAAAATCCTATGGCAAACACTGTTAGCAAAAACATCTGAGTGGGTGGAATATAAACTCTCCCTGCAATTTTGAAAAGCCTGTAGCTGATTACTTCAGCTACATATATTAATAAACTAAAAATAAGAGATCAGAGAGAAGAAAAGGTGAGATCTGGTGAAGCATGGATGGATATTGATTTTAAAAGAGCTCTTATTCCACAGTTGCTGACCTCCTATTTGTCTTCTCTCTCTTCCTTCTGAATTGTATTTACTGCTATACATGGTCTTTCTTCAGCATCGCAGAGAAACAATAAATGTCTGCCTGAAATAATAAAGGATTTGACAGCATTAAAAAGATCTTGTCTAAAGAGAAATTAGTGTGCTTGAAAATACAGGGTCAAATTCCCCTATTAATATCAGCAGCGAGGCTTTGTTGAAAATCATTGGGGATACCGTGACAAAACAGACAAAAGTGTGCCCCTAAAAGCTGTCTGGGTTCTATGTATGTGTAATCAATGGACCTGCTTGTCTTTTGAATCCAATACTTAGCAATTTTTAAAATGAAGTAACTTCTGGACACTCATAGTGCTATTGCAGGAATGTCTGCAATATATAATGTAGTATCCCCAAAACTCTTTTCTACATCACCAAAGTGCATAGGTAAATCAAAGTGAGCCATCTAACTCAGATAGAACAATATGATAAGTTCAAATTAAATTAGTGATGTTGTTTCTCTTTAAGGGCAGGAACATCCTGTTCAGAAAAAGGTTCATGAAAGTCAAAGGCAGAACATTTTAGAATAATATGTAATTGAACTATTGTCTTTTTAAGCTCATAAGTTCATTATTTGCATTTCCACTGAAGAATGATGTTTCAAACCTTTCATATTTGTAATAATATGTTATAATGATTTTGAGTATAATGAACTAACAGAAATTAACATTAATATTTCTGTGTGGCTTTTACTTTTCTTATTAAACTGTTGGGCCGGGCACACAAGCAAAGAAAAATGAAGAATTAATTCACTGCTACCTATAGGCAATCAGGTGTTCAACCATCTCCAGGAGAGCAGCACCCCATCATATGTAACAGTGGCTTGGGAAAACAAATGCCAAATAGCCCGCCCTTCGTCCTTCTTCTCCCCAGATTTACATACTGAGCATGATGTCATATTATATGGAATATCCCTTTGATGAGTTGGGGTTACCTGTCCTGACTGTGTCTCCTCCCAGCCTCCCATGCACCCAGAACTTCTTTGCAAGTGAGGCAGTATGGAAAGCAGAAGAGGCCTTTGTTTTATGTAAGTGCTGCTCAGCAAAACCAAAACCATCTCTATATTATCATCACTGTGTTCCGCACAAATCCAAAACGCAGCCCCATGCCAGCCACTGCGAAGAAAATTAACTTGGCCCCAGCCGAAACCAGCACAATGGCACATGACATAATAACATGTCACAAATAAGTGAATTTATAATTAAAGTGTATATATTGAAATATAACATAATGGTAATGTATAGCTGCTGTCCAAGGAAAACTGTGGGTAGAGTTATCACGAGGAAGAGCCATCAGGTGCAAAACACTAAAATAATAAATTATCTACCTCTTTCACAGAGAAATGGAAAGAGGGAAAATCCTTTGCAGAGGCTCTTTAAAAATATCATCACCTGCATTAGGTAACTAGACACAAACATACTCTTACCTAATTTCTGCTTATCTGGTGCCTTGCAGATATAGTAGGAGCATTACTTTCTTAATGGCAGATAAAATTATCATCCCACCAAGAGTAATAAACAATCTGGAAAGGAAACAAAACAGGATTTATCACTCTGTTTTGTCTTGCTTAATTCAGTGGTATTTTGGCTCCACATGGGTTGCTTGAACACATCACTGTTAGAGCAACTGCTAGTTTCACTGATTGAGGGACAGTACCAGACGCAGTGAGATGGAAAAGCTGGGTCAGGTTATGGACCATGCACTCCCTGGCCAAGCTGCTGCTGTGCTCACATCCACCTTTCATCATCATCTTAGGAACTGGAGGGAATAAGAAAAAAACCCCTGTCCTTTCCTGTAACAGATCCTGATCCTGATAAGAGCATTGCAGAGACTTTCACAGATATTTTGCACTCAGAAAATTCGTGTCTATGCATTCATGTGGTATTCAGAGTTTAAAAAAAAAAAACCAAAACGCTGTGCTCACCTGGTCAGCTTTCTAGGTTATTTGATACTTCACAAGAAATGAACAAATGCTACATTATCCAAATACTTGTATGCTTGTGTAAGCAGAAAATAGACAGTTTGGATTTGTCAATTCTTCCTTAAGAAGAAATATATAAACAGAAAATGAATTATTGAAATACTTTAATTTCAACAAATATAAAGAAAAACCTGCAGCATTTTAAAATTCAAAACAATTTTTGTGATGCAATTATAAAAAAAGTTACAAACAAAGTTAGTAAAATTATATCATGAATCCATATTTCATTATTGCAATAAAGGATGAACAGACATCCTACAAGAACTAGCAAGGCTCAAAATTAAGGGTATATGAAGCACAGGATATGAAACAGGCACCAAGTCATTAAAATATAGGAAGCAAAGATGAAAAGGAGCATGCTTTCCATTCTTAGATAAGCATCAGTTATAAATCACTTCTCTCCAAACACAAATGTTTCTGAGTCAAAGAAAGAAAAAAAGAAAAAAAAGGAAAAGCAAAGGTCTAACTGTCATGTAAACTCATTTTAAATGTCATGTCTTATTAGAACCCAATAAGTGGAACGTCTGTTTTCCCCCTTTGGTTAAGCCATCACATTTGTCAAAATTTTATGATAATTCATTCCATCATTCCTCAGACATTTAAATGACAGACAGTCCTTGGGAAAAAAAATCCCTGTAATCCTACTCTTCATGTTAAACTGCCTCTAGAGAGGTTTTTAAAGTATACCACATCATGGTAGGAGCAGAGTCCTAAACTTCTCAATTCCACTTATGATTTGCTGCCTTTTTGGAAAATGACAATAAATTGGCTCTCTACTATTCTTGACCTCTTGACTTTTGAACCATGGCTGTCCATGCCTTAACTCTGCTTGTTTAAGTCAGCAGCTATCGTATCACTCTGATCCTTTCCCAGAGGGTCTGGAGATTTAAGTCTCCTGAACGGTTAAGCTCCCCCTCTAGTGTTCACTGCTCATCATATTATTCATCCAAGAAGAAGGGAAAAGACATGTCACTTCATAACTTCTCCCGGAGACCGTTTCTGCTCATTTATAGCTTAAGAGTTTAATGGCAGTAGCAAGAAGATTAAAAGGTAAATAGAATGCTTTTAATGTGTTTTTATTTGACTTCTTTCAGCTAATTTTGTAAGAACAAAGAGAAAGTAGCAATGAAGTTTTTAGTCTGAAATTAGTGTAAAACAGTGCCTGATCTTTAAAAAAAATATCTATTGGCATGCAGAATTTCTGAAACAGTCAGCATTTAGAAGGCATACAATAGTATAGCATTACCCCTGGGAAAGCATCAATTTGTCCATAGGTGAGTAAGTTAATAGCTGAAACCAAGGTGTGAGAAATCTTCATTTAAGTGCTGATTGCTAATCAAATAAGAGAAGGGGTTTCTCACATATCTCTTTCCTTAATCAGTCTTGCTAGTGACCTGAAAAAGACATCCTTTATTGCTTGCGGCTCAGCATATTCATATATATGCATGCACATTGATTATTTGGATTTACTTTAATGAAACAAAGTTTAATGAAAATCAGCTCATTGTAATAATCAAAACCTAGAAGCCTGAAGGTTAAAAGTTCAGTCTCTTTGTTAAACGCAGCCTTGGACCCACAGCTAAACACAACCCAGAATTTATTGTACTGTGGAAACACTGAAAAAATAAACCCTGCCACTTCAGGTGAGAGTACATCAGCACATCATCCCCAAATCTGAATTGATTTTAGCTTTAAATGCATAGTGTTTGAGCTAAATTGAGGAATGCAAAAACAACCCTTCACTTCAAGTCCCTCTTTGAAAATTGAAAACATTAAAAAAACCCCTAAACAAACTCTTCTTAAAATACTATTAAAAATTCAAAGCACATATGCTGATCTGTGACAGAAAGTCTTTTTGTTTTTATTAGCCCAGATAACTTTTCTTAACTGATATCTTTCTGTGACTGATATAAGCAATACTTCTCTTCATATAGTAGCCACTGTTTAACTACACAGAAAAAAAAAAAGGAAAGTTGAATGGATGTCAGCTAAAAAAACCCTAGTTTTGTTTTAAATATGAAAACATGTATTAAATGATATCCCAGCAAAATTCTGGTGGAGCAATTTCTTCTGTTCTAATGATTCTTGTGCAAAAGAAATGCTCTGGAAAATTATGTTCATTGTGCCAAAATTTTCTTTCAAAGATGAAAAAGAACTCTTGCCCTGTTTTATAACTTCTATGTGACATATTTAACTTTTGCCTTTTCAGTGTGACTTTCCTCCTTTTTTTTCCTTTAATATTAAATATTGTGGCATGTAAAAATTGTATTAAAAATGTAAAACATATCTGAACAAAATCAGACTCTTTAATGGATTTAGTTTTTTTTCCCTCACTACATTCTTTCCTAATCAATTTCAATATCTGGATTTGTCATTCCAAGTACATTGAAAACTTTAACTCCTTACTGCAGCGGACAATTCTGCCCTCTGCATCCTTCTGCAAGGTGTACACGTTAGCAAATTTCTTGTACTAAAAATAAAAATAGTGTTTTAGAAAATAGAACTGCAAATTTTACAAGCTTCTCAAAGCTGTTTATTCTGCTAGTGTGCAGTAGAGCTCTGCAATCAGAACATATACTGACTGGTTTGACCAGTGAGTTACAAGTACGTGTGGATTACATCTGTGGTGAAGGATTTCTAGCTGGAGTGGACAGAACTGTTGAAATCCAGCTTAGCGCAATCTCTATATAAAGGTGCAATTTCTAAAGTACTATAGAAATAAGCTGTACAAGTGCAAAGGTAGGGCATGGATTGATTATTTTGGAAGAAAGAGGGGGCTAAATATGAAAATATGAATCATCTTTAATACAATTTACTCTGGGTACAAGGCACAGTTGGACAGAGAGCTAAAATATAATGAGTATTGACTAATGTGGGCATTAAATCACCCACAAAGCAAAGACTGGTGTCTTCCTTATGCGTAGACCATCCAACATTGCAAAAGCAAGTATCTAACTAATATGCACTTAAGTTCCTCAGCACTACAATGCAGTACCCATCCTGTACTGCTGTCCTCCGGTGAACATCCTGGAGAAAAACATGCCATCGAGGCATGAATTGAGAAGATTGCCTGGCGTCAAACTGGCTGATACTCCCCAAAATGGACAGATGTTCAGCTATGTTGCAATAGGAGCGGCCTGATTCACAGACCAGAGAGATAAGTCAGATGAGAAACATAACCAAAGGCATTATGTAAACAGAGTTCAAACTATAACTCAGAATCTTAATCAGTTTCTAAATGGTTCCTTTGGCAAGAAATCTGTTGCTGTGTGAAGGGGAGCAGGGTGCAGAGGAGATATTCAGGAAGAGGAGGAAATAAAGACACACATATACTAGCCAGTACACAAACTTCCCCACATGGAAGAGTTACAACAGAGCAAAGGACTCAACACTTTACCAGTCTTTTTCTCCTGAAAGCTGGTTTCTTTAACAGTAAAATTAAAAATAAAGAGATATAAAGATTGTTTCAGACATCTAAGACTAAAAGATAGGATGCACTTGAAAATATATATTAAAAAATGGTATTGACTTGTAGTGTAGACATAAAGTGAATAAGAGAAAGGTTAAAAATAAAGAAGGAAAAAGAAGTTTCTTCTGTCATTCTTTTGGACAAACAAAATGCTTAAACAGAAGATTAAAAGAGATAACAATAGAACTGATAGGGAATTCTTCATAATAATGCATATAATGTCAATCAGACTTACAAGATATTATGTCCTAATTATATTTAAATTGGTAATTTAAATAATTCTGAATTAAAAAGAAAAACAAAACAAAATAAACCCCAACACTATAGGTAATCATAAGGTTGCAATTATAAATCCTACATGAGATTAGAAGAACA